TTCCCACTAACAATTTTAATAATAAAAAAAGGTATATTAGCAAGAAAATTTTAAAGAGGCCTATTGGGCTTCTATTACTTGCCAGTGCATGCTTGTTTCCTGCAGCTCACTGTCCAGTGTCTTATCCACTGTCATTTTTTAAATATCCCCAATCAACAGGCTTTCAGTTATTTCCCTTGGAAGAAAATAGTTCTGTAGCTTAATAAATCTCACTGCCAAGAAACCTTTCCTGCTATTCACTTTGTATCTTTTCCCTGTTCCTTAAATTCATCCCATTACCTCTTCTTCTGTGAGTGGACAGATGTAACGTTTGAGAAATTTCAGGCTATAACATTGGAATTACTTAACAAAATGAAGCATTTCACCCATGGAAAGACATATTGCCCCGGTCTGCCTTTCAGTTGAAATCCTTCAGAATCTCTCCAGCCAGGGGGCATGACGAGGGGCTGCAAACTCTGCTTTCCCCATAGGGAAGGGGAGTGGAGCACACTGTCATTGGTCCATCTCCCAGGGGCTTTTGGCTTCCCCCTACCGCCCCCCACCCCTTGCCACTTGCTGCTCAAGCAGGGATCCCCCCCACCCCTCCAGTGCTCCAGTGCATTTAAGGAGACAGAGGGTCCGTGTCTGCCTGTACCTGGATGATTGGCTGACCAGAGACAGACCCCAACAGCAGACTGCAACAAATTTAGAATACATTATCTACCCGTTCTTTCAACTAGGAATACCAGTGAACTATGAGAAACTCTCTCTCTCCAACCATAATGACATTAATGTGCTCATATGGGAACATAGGGAGTCACAGGTATAGTCCTGATGGACACTGCTGTTCAAAGAAGTTCTGTCTCACATACATGTACTCAGAGGCAGAACAAGAAGAGCTGGTGCCCTGGGCAAACCCTGCAGGAGAGCAACAGGTATTCATGCAGGTTCTGAGAGTGTCGAGGGGGCACAAGCAGTTCCAAGAGCTGGGCAGGCAGCAGGCTTACCCTGGGAACTCCTAAACGTTCCCCACTGAGCTGTTGCTGTCAGCTGCTGGTTATTGCTCTTAAAGCAGCAGCAGCTGGGGACTGTTTTGGAGATTCTGGCATGGGTGTGGCATGGGGCCACTCTTGTTGCTGGGGCAGAGACTCCTTGGGGATGGGGAGCGATTCCAGTGCCCCTCCTAACTTGGCTCCTAGGGCAGGTGCCCTTCTCAGCCACCCCTGGTTATGCTACTGCATGTGCTGACTACAAAACCTTTGACCCACAATACCTGTAAAGTAGATAACCCTTCCTTACATTGTACTTAACTTGTGATTGTTCTTTTGGATAAAGTAATAACCACTAATTCTTTATAACTGGAGGATTAACCACATGACTGAATGTTATTTCTAACACTTTTTTTTCAATATCCAGACACAGCAAGTACAGTCTGTTCTACCTCACTGTAATTATTGCTAGTTATATAGTGAACCTTCCAGTTACGTGTATGGGTGGCCTTTAAAGGTATCCAAAAACATAGCTCTATGGTAACTTAATCATACTTGCCATGTAACTATAGTGGGGTTACAGTCACTGTTTTAAAGTGTAACCAAGAACTTTTAATACAAAAATGTCTTTGTCTATCAATGCTTGAAGTGAAATAGCTCTCTAAAATTAAGATATTATATATTTTTTCTGATAAAAGAAATTACTCTTACTTCATTTCTCCTCTCTCAGGGTTACCTTGCATGAAAAGGAGAATTTTATGAATGCTGAAAATCTGGGAATAGTGTTTGGACCTACTTTAATGAGACCCCCAGAGGACAGTACCCTCGCCACACTGAATGACATGCGGTACCAGAAGCTAATTGTGCAAATTTTAATAGAAAATGAAGATGTCTTGTTTTAGACAAAAACAGAAGTAACTTCATAGCCGTAGCTTTGAAATAATCCATTTCAATGAAAACCAATTTCTTTACAGTTTTTTTTTTTTAAGAAGGAAAAGTTACTGGGTCTCACCTCAGTTTCTGCAGTGTTGCAGATGAACGCGAAAATGTTTAATAAAGCTTATGTCTCATAGACATATGCCTCTTTTTTAGAAAGAAAAAGGTCAGAAAAGAATCCTCTTACCTTGTGTCTTTTGCCTTGCTTCATATGTATATGTGTTTTGAGAAGTTGCAGATGAGTTTATCATTAACTTATTAATGAATGCAAAATGTATTTTAATATGGCTAGAGAAGCAGAAAGGTACTTAATCAGTGTTACTTGTATACAGCTATACATGTCCCTTCTTCATAAGGAATAATTATATATGTCAGTCATGAAACAGAAGCTATATTATAAAGATATTTAACTTCAGTTAGCAGAAAGAATGGCATTTAATTTTAGCAAACTATAATTCAATGCAGTGCATTGATTATTTTCCATATATTTTTCCTCCCTTTTTTCTATGACACATTGAAAAGATCTACCATTAGTACCATATTATCCTGACACACCTCTTTTATTGCAAATGCTTTTAAGGAAACTTCCTACATGTATTCTAAATTTCTTTGGAATTTTCTTTTACATTTTAGATACGAGCGTTCTAAGACTGTATTATACTCTTGTAGCCATTCAGTATCTTCCCATATTATCATATTTTTTCTTCCAAAATGTGGTTTTGAAGTTTTCAAAAGTCCTGGTGATAGTATCAGTTTCACATGCCAGATCTTTCTTTGAATACAGTAATGTGTAAATTAAGTGAGGCTGGGACACTGGATATTTTCTGGCCTTGTTGAAAAATTAGCACTTTTTTTGTTAATTACAATTTTTTGTAAGAATCAGGTTATGTTTTTGTCATGTTTCTGTATTTATAAGCGTACAGTAAATGCTGAAAATGTAGGTATTTCTCTTGAATGTGTTTCTTGATGGTTTGTTTTTAAAAACAAGAACATGTACAAAGCATTGGAGCTGGTAAATTTAATCATTGAAAAATATTTTATTTTTCTCCTTTCACAAACATTGACCTACAGGGCTCATAGTCTAACTGCAATTTATTCTTAATATTAAACGTGTTTCTCAGCATGAAATTTTTCTACAAGCATAGCAAGGCAGTATACTTTACTACCAAACTGAATTTTCATTGTGAAAAACTATAATAATCTCTCTTCATGATTGTATGAGTCACATGTTTGGTAACTCAGTGATAGGGTTTTCTGAATTATTTCAGGGAGCACATGTTTCTATTGAAATTGAAAAATGTGTGTAACTATAATAATGAAGGAGGGGCAGGATGGGAAAACTGTAAATTTTGTTGTCCTCTAGAGAAATAACCAAGGGCTAGATAGTAAACCCAGACTGCAGTGCAAATGTTAAATAATTCCAATTTGCTGATCCTATTATAGAGCCTCTTAAAATGTACAGAATTATTTGTTGTAGGTTATGTACTACTTAATACTGTCATAAAAATGATCTGGAAATGGTTTTATTTTGTGAAGTGAAATATGCTTTGTAATTTATAATAGTGTAAATGGAAGGAAAATTCCATTAAATGTGTTAAGAGCTCTTGTGTCTTGTCATTTTGACCATATGGCAACCTGCCAGAAGAAAATCAATATCTATCAGCCCTTCTGACACTACTAGCCTTCCTGGTATTGCTAAAAAGTTGACTATTTGTAAAACTTTGAAATAGTACTACTGACGATAAGCAGTTTCAGATCATTAGTGAGATGCTTATGCAACTCCACCATGGTATGAACTTAAATATACACTTGTTTATTGAGCTATATCCCCAGACTTCACTGCTTAGAAGTTCAAGTAAGCAAAACCCAAGAGATCAATCCAATCATCTATACACAGAATGTACCTTCCAAGTAATAGAATCACCAAAGCAGTTTTCTGTTGGCACGGGATTTAGGACCCAGCCTTTATACCTTTGTTCCGAGTGAGCACAACCCTCAGACTGGCCACTACGTTTCCATTCGATAATAGGCAAATGTATTGATACATGGTACAAGCAGTACAAACAATCAAACAATTCTATATATCTACCAAATCCTAGGGCTGTCATCAAAGTCAAGTACATCTGGCCAGGTTGCAAACTTCACTCTGAGGCTGTCTCTTAGGTGCCAGATGTCAGCATTGCATATCAGCATTCTGGAGGTGGGATGCCAAGGCCCACAGCCCCCTTCCAGGGGGCTGTCTGAGACAGGCTACTGGTATGCCTTCAGTCTGTGGTGGCCTCGAGGACCCTTCCTGGGGGATGGATTGAGGATGGGCACCCCTCTCAGGGAAGAGAAGGAGAAAGAATGGGGAAGGATGGAAAGAAGAGAACGAGGGACAGGGAGGGACCCAGGGACCCTTTGTTAATCTCAAGTCTCTGCTTTTGTATTGTCCTTCCCTCCTGATGACTCTTAATTCATGGCTATCTCTGGTTGGTTGTCTCTCTGGGGTCACACGTCCACATAGCGTTTTGGGCCTTCTCCTGATTTGGTCTGTTCACCCAAAACCGGGACTCAGCCCTGCTCCTGCTCTGAGGCCTTGTAGCTGGTGTCACTTATCTCATGTTATGGGACAGTATGGTACATACTTCCTTGGTTCCCAGGCTTTGTGTCCTTGTTGTGTTAGACAACCTGGTACATGCCCCCTCAAGTGTCAGGCTGTATCTATCCGTTTGGCTGTATCTATCCATTGGCCTTGTCGTGCTAGACAGGCTGTCTGCCTCCAGGGGTATATGGAACTGTGTGTGTGAAACCCAGGCTCTTACAAATCAATTAGTCCCTGCTGCCCATCTTGAGCCCTTATAATGCATATATCTATACCTATAAGCCAATTCCAAGAAACCAGACCTTTAAATACCATTTTTAAGCCAACATTTTCCACATACTTATATGTAAATGTGTGTATATGATTTAACTTCAGTTCTTTTCAGTTAGTCATTGTAGTTTGTTTGGGTTTTTTTTCTGGAGAAACTATTCTTGGTGACATTCCTGAGTTGACAAAAAGGTGAACAAAAGCCTGCCCTGCTCGTGCTCCCCTACTCTTCATATGCAGTAAGACAGTACCTTTGACAAACCCTATTTCCTGAGTGCCAGTTACATATACAAGATGGTAGTACCTTCAGCAGTATCAATGAAAATTAGCTCTGAATGAAGAAAGTCTCTAATTTATGTAATAACATTACTTGGAAAAGAAAAGAAGTGGGGCAGAGGGAGAAGGGAGTGTCAAAATACAAATCTGGAATTGATGGCTGGTTTCTGCCTCAGCTGAATGAAGAATAGTCCCCACCTGTAGAATACAAGACTCCACTCCAGTCTCTTTGTTCTTACATTCCCAATTCTGATTTTTTTTAATGCAAGCAAAATGTATGTGCAACAATGTCTGGCAAAGCAAAGAACAAGGTATATACAGACAGCAGTGACGTACTTGAGGCCACATAGATCTAGGTCCGTCTGAATTATACCAAGCCTCCCTTCCACAGAATATGGCAAATACAGTGGTGTGATAGCTTCTTGGTCTCTGCTAAAGAGCAGAGAGAATAGTTTGCAAGATGTCCCAGGAGGTTCTTGTGTGGCTTCTCCTATTTCCCTGTTGGACCATCTCATCTTAAGGATCCCTAGTCACAGGTGAGAACTCTGCTTCCACAAAAGTCTGTTGGCAAAAGGTTATTTTGCCTGAACTTTTCCTGGTTCCCCATACATGTTCTGGCAGTATTAGTGGCTCTTGACACATTGTCTCCTTATTTCTGCCATTCGGACATTTGTCGTGGTTTCCACTCGCATGACAGCTGCTATTCCTCACACAGGCCCCACAGCTCAGCCGCTGGATTCCTGCAAGGCGGCAGACAGGGGCAGCAGTAATGTGACTCCCTGCAATATTAAGGTAACTTAGACTCAGATAAATTAGCAAAAAAAATTGCACTTTCCTTCCCTGTGTTCTTTGGGCATGTCTTATCAGTTTGTAAATTGTATGGGTTTAGCAGAAGATGTTGAAATTTAGTCTTTAGTCCTCAGGCTTATAAAGTTCACCTGGTGGCTGTTTCAGAGAGTGGAGACTTGAAGAGGTGGTTGTAAAAGAAAGACGTTACAGAAGATACAAGACCTAGTTTTGAACTCTGGTTCTGTACCGGTGCAGTTGGGTTCAAGGTGTAGAATTGGGCACATTGCTTCACGTTGAAGAAGGATGGATAAAGTCCCCAATACGATTAGATTTTCTCTCTTTTTCCTTCTTCATACAGTTGAAAATACAATTTGAGCACATGGGTTTATCTCAAGGCACATGACCCCAGTGGGGACTCCAACCACTTCTCAATTAGTTCTGCTGAAAACCAAGGTATATTATCCAGGGACAGGGCATAGTGCTAATGTGGATCTGCTTCCTGCTTTTGTTATTCAAGCTAGCAAAGTCTAAGCTGTGTAGACAATTTAGGAGCCAGGCTTGGGTCTTCCAGAAGATGGAGCATGGATAACTGGTGCCCCCATAGTCAGGGTGGGCACATGTCCCCCCCAGCAACCAGTCAGCAGTGGGGGGGGCATCCCCCACAGCCAATCTCACCATCCAGGGGGAAGCCCCTCTCCGGCCAATCTCACCAACTGGGGGGGTTCCCCTTGCAAAACTCACCAATGGGGGGTGGAGAGGTCCCCCCTGGCAAAATTCACCAACCAGGGAGCAGCCACGGCACTCCCAGAAGTAGCAACGGTGCTATATCCGGTGCTCCCACTCCCCAGCCAGTGCCTACAGGGGGCATACCAGTGCTCCTGCCCCCTGCCCTGTCCCCCCCCCTAACCGGGGAGCGCAGCGTATCAGGGGGTGCACATGCACCCCTGTGCACCCCCTACACATTGCCACTGAAATGGAAGAAAGAGGCCCTAATAACTCTTAATCCCCACTGCAGCTATAGTTATAACGCAGGCCAAGACTCCAGGTCTTTGCAGTTCAACAGCCAGACAGGTACCAGCTAGTTTGGACAATAAAATTAAGGTTATAATTGGGAAACTGCTGAATCCATTTTAGCAGGAAGACTGACCTGAAGAGGGCTAGAGAACACCTGATTGGAGCCCATAGATGTTTGTTTTGGCTTTGGATTTTATCCCACAAGGTTGAGGATTGTTCCACCCATCAGCAGAAGGACATTAAGGACCAGCGTGGACACTGAGGCACTGCTAAAAGGGTAAGTGTCCCCATGACATGGTGGTTATGAGAAATATGACCAAAAAATGTTCCTTTAAAGATTCTTTGTCCTCTCAGTGTGAGAGTGACAGTTAAAGTTCAATGCACCTTCCCCAGATGACTGGGAGAGGGGAGGGGGAGGGTCACATCACAACTGTATGTGCTGAGTTGCTAAGGAACTTGATGCAATTTGTATGAAAATGGCAAAAACTGATGAGGACAGGCGGTATGTCCAATATGATCCAAATACATGAAAATATTTTGTGTATATGCATTAAGTTATTTATATGGTTCCCATTACCACAGTATCTGGCCAGGTCTGGTTTCTCTAAGCCACATCCTTAACATTGCATGCAGCCTTCATAACTAGGGAGTCTGCTACAAAAAAAAAATACTCCCAGTCCACAGAGCCTCTGGGCTTCAAGACCGGCAACCCATTGTTGCATCCCACAAGTCCACACTGAGGGAATAGACATATACAGTAGGTTGTAGATCACACGTTTCCTCCTGAGACATACCAAAATACTGAGCAGCCCCTTTACAGTTCTTTCCACTATGCATGTGAGATACAAGACCGCTTACATAATCTCCATGAATTCTGCCTGTCCCTCATGCGCCCTTGAACAATGAAACTGCGCTAGTGTTTTGCTTTTCCTACAGAGAAGGGATGAAATAAACCCATTTATGTATCAAGAAAATCTAGTTAGATCAGTGTATCATTGATCTGACATGCGCTAAAAAGGAGCAGGTTTGGATTACTTTCCTATTTCCTTTATATAAATTCTGAAATGTGTGCAGAAGCAGTGTAACATGCAGACTGCTTGCTTGCAAAAAAAAGTTTTCCCTGAATATGCTGCACTCTAGAGTGGCCAGACCTTTTCAAAGGAGAGAGTAATGGCAGTACCTTCAGCTTTTATTTCCAAAGACGTTGTTTCTATGTAAACACTAACCTTTGTAACAATCTTGGGTAAAACAATGTCTTGTGACTCTGACTTTCACTAGTGACTTTCACATCGAGATTTTGATGATCTCTGTGTGCAACCTTGCATACACATACAATTTGCTTCCTTCCTCAACTCCTTCTGCATCTTCACAGCAGTGTTTCCTTCCAAAAAAAAAGTATAAATAATTTCAGATAGCATGTTCCTTTTTCTGTACATTGTTTTCAGTCAAGCAACTGTACGCTCTTAAGAGTAAGAAATCTCTTAGAAACAGACTTGAATCAAAACCCCACACATGAACGTGGGGATGTTTGAATTTATCTTAACTCATGCAAACCTATAATAAGCACAGAAGAATAATAGAACTAGCACATCATATTTTCTATGGAAAATTCTGTTACATGTAATGTATAATAATATAATGTGGTAATAGGTCAGGTTATGTGAACCTGTA